AAAAAACAAATATTGCAAAAACAAAACCGACCAAAGTTGGTCGGTTTTTTCCAACCAAAGTTGGTCGGTATTTCAATTATGTAATCAAAGGATTCACCATCTGGGAATCGAACCGGGGTTTGTACTGTGGCAGGATGCTATTCTTCCACTAGATCATTGGTACATTTTGTTTTAAGACTGCCTTTTATTTGATTTATACTTTTTAATTATATTTTCGCACGAAAATAACCGACCAAAGTTGGTCGGTTTTTTTAAATGACCGGCCGAATTAACCGACCAATTTTGGTCGATTTTTTAAATATTAATTTTTATTTATTTTAATTGAAAAAACGACCAAAGTTGGTCGGTTTCTTAAAAAATAAATTTTGCGGGACTCAAAAATAGTTTTCCGCATTTTTGCTCCAAAGAAACCCGATCAAAGTTGGTCGGTTTCTTAAAAAAAATTAAAAAATAAAATTTTTTGAAGTCGGTTTCGTAAAAACAAATTAAAATATAAAATATTTTGAAAAACCGACCAACTTTGATCGGGTTTCTTGACCGACCAAAGTTGGTCGGTCGACCTTGGTCGGTTTTTGCCGAATTTCTAGTAGTGTCTATGAAACGCATAGGTATCTTGTGTATGGAATCCTATGGACGGTCTATGAAACGCATAGGTATATTGTGTATGGAAATCCTATAGACGGTCTATGAAATGCATAGGTATATTGTATATGAAAATTTATGGACGGTCTATAAAATACATAGGTATATTATATATGGAAATCCTATGGACGGTCTATGAAACGCATAGGTATATTATGTATGAAAATCCTATGGACGGTCTATGAAACGCATAGGTATATTATGTATGAAAATCCTATAGACGGTCTATGAAACACATAGGTATATTGTGTATGGAATCCTATGGACGGTCTATGAAATACATATGTGTATTGTGTATGAAATGTATAGGTGTACAGTATGAATAAACACTATGGACGGTCTATAAAACGTATAGGTATATTGTGTATGGAATCCTATGGACGGTCTATGAAATACATAGGTGTATTATGTATGAAATGTATAGGTTTACGGTATGAATAAACACTATGGACGGTCTATGAAATGCATAGGTGTATAATATGATATGTGAATACTAAGGGACGGTCTATGAAATGTATAGGCATAAAATAAGAGAGGGATATGGATGGTCTAGTGAGACGCATTATTAAGGCTGACAATAGGTGCCACTTTCATTGGCCTTATTTGTATATGTTGTTTCAATTACATCATATTATGTATTCCATGTATAGTTCATATGGCTCAGTTGATCCTAAAAAGGTTTAGAGTGATGCAAGTATAATAAGACTTGATATTTGATTCTATGGGATATTTTGTAGTTTCTTGATGTACTTTAAATGCCTCTTATTTGAGTTACCGTATTTTCATATGTTGTTATGTCTGCCTTTCATACGAGTACTATTCTACATGTACTCACGTCCCTTTTGTCAGGGGCGCTGCATCTTTTAATGGATGTAGGTAGTTTCATAGCATGCGGCATCGATCAGTGATAGCAGTACATCCTCCTCTCAGCTACTTGGTGAGCCCCACTTCATATCGGGGTCATGTACCTTTTGATTTCTCATATATTGTGTTTTGAGGTATCGCCGGGGCTTTATTGCCGGCATTATCCTAGTACTCTTTTGTACATGTTAGAGGCTCCGTAGACATGGTGTGGGTTGTACGTGGTATTGGGAAGGTCAAACTAATGATATTGTAATTGTATCATATGTTCCACTTCTAAACTATGGATGTATAATGTAATATTTTGAGGACATTAAAATGAACCAATGGTAATGAATTGGTATTGTATACATGATCTCCTTATTGTCTAATTAACGAAAATATGTATTCTCTTTATTCATAAGTGAGTTTGGGTAGAAAGTATCTAACAGGCTTGCTTGACCGGTTTTACTCGGTTGAGCTCCGGCCGCGCTCCCCGAGTTCGGGGCGTGACACACCCATTCTTAGATCCCTGAGGAAATCGACCCCGACTCATAGTTGGGTACTATTATTCCAACGACCTCTTCCACTCATTATTGAGTGTAGATTGGGAGTGGATCAATGGTACTCACCGTGGGAAGGTCAGCGTCAACGTCAGTTTCTTTGTCTTTTCTCTTCTTCGGGCCATCACCGAAGAGAATACCGGAGTTCTTAGAAGTGTTAGTAAAGGAAGCCATGATCAATAGAAGGCGGTAAGAAGTTCTTTCAAGAAGATTAATGAAAGATGAAAATAGCAAAGAGTTGAATGCAAAGAATTTGAGAGTGTTTATAAAATTATTATGTTTAAAAAAAGAAGGATGAGGCGTATAAGTAAAGAAAGAGGTGGTCAAAATCATGGCCATGATTACCTCGAGAACCTGCGAAAATATTGTTAAATCGTGGAGTAACACATATTTGTTGTATTAAATGTGAGGAGACGTGCGTCTTATCAAGCGTCAGAAACTTTTCAGAAGGGCTCAGAAAATTTTTCGCCAAGAAAAAAATCTTTACCAACTTCCCGGTGAGACGAAGACGCGCCACCGAAAAGTAGGGGGACTATCTGTATAGGGTAAAATCGATTCACATTAAATACTCGAATGACAGAGTGACACGTAAAACCAGGGGCAGATGGAAGACAAAGCAAGTGAAAACCAAGACCGAGGACAACACCTTCGGTTGGTACCGGGTAGACTCCGAAGGGAACATTATCAACGAGAGCAAACAAATATTTTCCACCAGATGACATTCAATGGAGAATATTTCTCAGTATTAATACGCATCCGTTACAGAGAATTTTGGCATTCATGGCATGCCGTTACATATTCATCAATGGCCTCCATTATTGTCATTTAAGAGGGGCTTGGTCCTAGGACCATGTTCCCTAGGTATAGCTATAAATAGTGACATCAATAGTCATTATAAGGGGACGAAAATTCTGAAAAACGTATGCTATACATTTTTCTAAGCTCAATAATACTTTATTTTCTGTCTATCAATATTTTTATTACTGCCTTTGGAAGCCTTGCTTCCGGAACCAAGTTGCCCGTTGTCTTATCTTGGTTTCAACGCTCAATCTTGCATTTTATTTAATTTATTTATCATTTTGGGATCAAATCCATTCGCTTGTCTATAGACCACGCTATAAATTCAGATATACTGTTTTACGGGTAAACACTTATAAGCATATTTAAAAAGAATAACTAAAAGACAAATTAAAATTACA